CCACTGGTTTCAGCTTGCGATGAAATGAGATAATATTACATTTTTGTACATTCAACGTGAGATAGTTTCTTGAGCACCACTCTTCGAAAGTATCGATTAGGTGCTGAAGCCGCAGGCAATCGGCGAAGCTACGAACAATCATATAGATCTTCACATCATCCGCGTAGAACGATCGGCAACCAGTTGGGAGGATCAGTTCGGCCTCATTCACAAAAATCGAGAATAGCAATGGTCCCATGTTGCTACCTTGAGGAACACCGGTGCTGTTTGTAAAATAGTCCGATTGCTCTGATCCGATTCTAACACAAAGTTCCCGATTGGTCAGATAGGACTTGAACCAACGAATTAAACCCGAGGATACACCGAGTTTTTCAAGTTTAGCTAGCAGTATGGAGTGGTCAACCCGGTCGAATGCAGTCTTAAGATCTGTATATACAACGTCCACCTGCGCTCCAGCTTCCATACTCCGAAGACATAAAGAAATGAACGGAGCTAGATTTGTTGAAACTGATCTCTTGGGATAAAAACCGTGTTGGTCAGGAGAAAATGTAATTTCTGCAGCTAGAGAATAATGCGTCGTTGTTGATGATTTCGAAAACTTTAGAGCAGGCACTGAGTGATGTGATCCCTCGGTAATTTTCCACGTTTCTCTTGTCTCCTTTCTTGTAGATCGGGAACATGAATGACGGTTTCCAACGCGTAGGGAACTCCCCCTGCTGTAATGAAATATTGAACAGCTTCGAAAGCGGTGTTGTAAGCTCTGAACAGCATCGTTTCAGGATGCTTAAGGGGATCCCGTCAGGGCCAGCAGCATTAGAAAATTTCAGCTTCTTGATGGCAGATTCGACGAGGTCTACTGTAACCAAGGTAATCGAAAAATTGAATGCATCACTTGGAGAGTCCCTCACCGCTTCAGCAACTTGGGACAACGAAGCCGTAGTGTCATTGAAAATGCTTTTGAAATGTTCTGCCAGAAGATTGCATTTCTCAAGGGAATTGCTGGCGATTCTATCACCCACGACTGCTAGCCCCTCCTCGTTTCGTTTGGTATTCACGAATGACCAGAACTGCTTTGGATTAAGCCGTAAATTAGCCTGCACGCGCCTTGTGTAGCTCTTGTAAAGAATGCGGTTATATGTGCGATATTCGTTGCTCGCTGTTGAAAATAATCGTTTGGTGCATAGGTTACGAGTACGACAGTATTTACGGAGGGCCTTCGATCTCAGACACTTCAAATTTCGTAGTCGAGCATTGGACCATACGGGTTTGGGAGAGGGTCTCCTCAATGGGACAGAATCAGTTATTGCCCGGCCAACGACCTCAGCGAAGTAGTTGACGGCTTCATCAATAGATGAACACGTGTCAAGGAACTGCCAATCTGCCTGGGCAAGCGAGTGACTCAGCGTGACGAAATCTGCTCTACGAAAGTCGAGCTCATGTACATCAACAGGGGGGTTATCGTAGCGAACAGGAACTTCCAACGCAGGATGATTGGTGTCGATGCCAATCAAAGGCTCTGGGGCTTCTAGGATAGAACATTACAGTCCTGCAGCTTCGTTCGCCAGAACGAGATCAAGCAGACGAGAGTTGCTATTCAGTATCGAGTTGATTTGCGTTAAGCCATGCATCAATGCTAGGAAGATCGTTTGCAGGAACGTTCCATGAGAGCCCAGACTGATTGTAGTCACCAAATATCAGAGCTAGGTCGTTTTGTTCTAGTCGAGAGAACACGGTACCAATCGAACTGATGTAGTTTGCAATGCTGCTCGAATCAGATTTCCGGTCTGGAGGTAGATACATAGCGCAAATACTTATTGATCTACGAGGCGTCGTTATTTTGACCCACAGCTGCTCTAGAGAAGTGCAAACTGGAGCAGGATCGATGCAGGAGCTTAGGCGTTTGGATACCGCAATCAAGACGCCTCCCCCACGCGATTTAGTACTATTCTGGTGGTTGCGGTCGTTTCGAAATACCGTGAATAGACTGCCAAATAATTGAGATGAATTAATGCGGTCATCGAGCCAAGTTTCCGTAAGAACTATGACATCGTAGTCAGAGTCAAAGGCAGTCAGGAAAAAATCATCAATCTTTGTTCGCAGGCCACGAACGTTCTGGTAATACATCAACAGGCGGTCGAACGAAGTCGGTTGGAGGTCTGCAGAATGATCGATCAGCCGAAACGAGCATGGTGGTACTCTGGAACACAGAGACGGATCCGGAGAAGAACTGTTTTCAACAAACGCATAATTGCCTGATGTAGAAGGTTGGAAGACCCCTTCACCATTCTCAACCACAGGGCCAGAACGACTACGATGACAGGAATGAGCAAGCGCGACTGGGTTGAGTGGCTCAGGGGCTTCCTTGAGGCAGCAGGCAACGCGTTCTGGTCTGGGATGCTTCAAAACGTGGCGAGCAAGATCCGGTGCAGTGCTGTATCGGAGATGTGGGATTTGAAGACATCGGAGTATGACGTTTCAGTCGAACCAGCCGGTTGTTGCTCTTGAGGCGGTGAGGCGCTGGAAGCAACGAACGAATCAGGAGCGGAACTGGTGATGACACGAACATACTTGCCTTGAGTTGCGGGTTGGAAGACCCCTTCTCCAAGCCCACACACAAGTCCAGGACGACTGCAGGACGATGACTGGATTAACTCAACTGTGGCGGGAGAAGAAGGGGCTTCCGCAGTGCTAACTTCAATGCATCCCAGAGTGTTCAGGTGACAGGCGGGCGATGGATGGTTGAAGGTTGGTATAGCGCTAAAACCAATGGACGAATCAGGAGCGGGACAGATCATGACACGATCATACTTGCCTTGAATTGTAGGTTGGAAGACCCCTTCTCCAAGCCCACACACAGGTCCGGGACGACTGGTGGACGATGACTGGAATGAATCGACTGTGACGGGAGAAGAAGGGGCTTCCGTAGTGCCAACTTCAATGCGTCCCAGAGTTCTTAAGCGACCGGTAGGTGACGGATGATTGATGACTGATAATGCGCTGGAACCAATGAACGAATCAGGAGTGGAACTGGTCGAGAAACAGATGATACTTGCCAGACGTAACAGACTGGAAGACCACCTTTTCAACTCACACACAGGGCCGGGACGACTGTAGAACGCTGACACGAATGGCTCGACTGTGGTGAGAGAATTGGTGGCTTTCATGGTGCTAACATTGGTGCGTCCCAGAACGTTTTTTAACTTCACTATGTCTGGTCCATTGTTGGGGTGTCCGTTTTGGGTGTTTGCGTATTTGGATCCAGTTGATATGACAACAGAATAGGCGATAATGAATACGCATCTTTGAATGAACCAAAAGAATTGTTACTTTGAAAATCAGCGGTTGCCTTGATCAAAAGCATTTTATCATGTCAAAATTCAATTTCATGCAGGTAGTTGGTTTATCCTTCAAGGCTGCCTTCATTTTCAGCTTTTTGAAGTGTAGAAGAAATGATTTTTATCAGCACTGGGTGAGATAATAATAATATCCCAATGCAAAAAGGGAGTGGTACGCAATAATCATGATGCGTTCAATTTGATTAAACGGTTAAATTTTCAACCTTATACCCCGTTCACATTACAGCGTATATCACGTGATATACGCTGTCTTGCAATGAGCACTCATACATCTAGTTTTCACTGGAAATCCTATGTACGAGTGCTCATTGCAAGACAGCCTATATTACGTAATATAGGCTGTAATGTGAACGGGGTATTAAAAAATAAATCCAGTGTAATTAATGAAGTTAAGTTTTAATTTTTCAGTCAAAAGCATTCGTTGCATCAAAATTACTTGTTATTGAAACATAATTGTTGAATGTATTGGATTCCACATGCACTTATTTTCAGCAGTCAGTCATGTTAATTTGCGATTTCTGACCATTGACTAACATTTATAATACTCATCTGCAGCAGCTATTAATCAAACATGCTGCAATAGTAACTGTAGTAGAAACTTATAGCAAACTCCCAAAAGTACCACAATAGACCATGTTCAATTTAAATAATTAAACCATTTTCTCACTAACGACCACGCGCCTCCACGATCAAATTCAATAAATCTCCATCACCGACCAGCTTAGTCACACCCCTGCATCCCTACCGAAAGGAAACTTATCGTTTCACCTGTTCAATCTTATCGTTTTCCCATCTCTTCTGCACTCTCACGGCAAAGTCGCTCTCGTTCTCCCAGTCGAAGCCATCCGCCGGCATGCGCACGCCATTTCCCGGGAAAATTCCCAACTCTCATTTTCTCACTCCCGGAAAAAAACGGCAGTGATAACACCACAGAAGCTTGCTCTGTTTTCATTCTGGAGGTGCGCCTCTCAGACTCCAACAAGTTCCATTTTCGCTCTCGCTCGTTGTTTTGGGACGATACGTTCAATGACGTCACCGCGGCACAGCTTCCAACAAGTTGTTATCAGCTGCTTTTGGTGTGGTTAGTACTAGGCTTGGCAGGAATTCGAGAGAGCCTGAGCTCTGGGATTAGATCTTCTCAAATGGCGGCGCCGCTCAGGTTGGCCAATTTGCGTTCTCGCCGTTAGTCTTCGCAGCACTCGGAAGCGATACGGACGCACACGGTTAGAATCGCGGTTTGGTTGGTTTTTGCTCCGTGCTGGGATTTTCCAGTTTTTGACTGCCCTCTGCTGTTGGTAAAGGATTGTGGAATTGAGGAAAGCGCGGGATACGCACGATTTTTCTTTTGGATAGATTTGTGTTTAGCGCCTTCGGAGCAGGGTCGGAGGCATCGGGATCGGGAAGGATGGCTAGTGTACTTTGGGGAAGTGGTGGGAGCGAGGTGTGAGCGGTGTCGTGAAGGATATTCCCGGAAGTGCGAGAGCTCATCCTCGACGAAGACGAGCACGGAAGATCTGATGTACGACGAGCGGGTGCAGCGGGTGGGAGCGTTGAAGGTGGTGGAACAACTTTTGCGTTATCCTTAAACACGAACTCGCCGACCGTGCCGGAATCAATCGGTAGCTGAACGTCGTGAAGGTCGTACACGCGCGGCATCGTCCTCCGTGCGTTCGCTCGATACAGTTCGTTCGAACATTTGTTCGGAAGGTCCTGCTCTGATTACTTGATGGGTGGTGGTTGGTGTAGCATTTGAACTTTGCCACGAATATCCAGACCTTCTATGAGGGAGAACGGAATCCCTCCGTACGTGAGTGCGTGCTTCGATAAGTTTGGCAAAGTTGTTGTGTTGGCTGTTGATTCTTCCGTGGAATGGTTGGCCGATGTGGGAGGCAGCCTGTGAGAGTGTGTCTCTCCTCATTTAGGGTGTTTAATTATGTATCTTGGTCAACTACAGGCGAGTGCGGTGCGATTTGACCAACCTAGTGGAAGTAGGTGCCAAGCCGTCGAGGCTGAAGAGGAAGAAAAAGAAGTGCCAAAGTGCTGCTAATTTCGGAGTTGACTCCGCAGCCGGGAACCTCCCTTGAGTGCGTGAGTGTGTTGCTGTCGGAAAGAAGGAAATGTTTAATTGATGAGATGTGACCGTGTAGAATGGGGCAGAGTAATCAATATAATCAAACAACCTCAAGTGGTGGAAGTGAATGCCGGTAATTCAAGAGGCAAAACCATCGACGAAGAAGACGAGAAAGTTTCTGTAACAAGTGATTAGAACGATTCGACATGTGGAAAGAGAAATTCAAAGTGGAAAATACTCTTGCCGTAGAAATAAATCATTAGCTTATATTTGAAGTTCGGCGACGGGGAACACCAGACGATTTATCGCTGAACAGACGATCGAATTAGACATAATTTAAGAGGTATGTAAATCGTGACGCCACTGCCGGCTGGGGGGAAAATTGGCAATCATCGCGACAAGCAGCGAGAAATCGCTCAAATTAGTCGTCTAATTGGATCTGGCATGAGCATGAATCGAATCGAAGATTGAGAAATGATATTTGCGATGATGAAGTTATTTTTAGACCACGTGTCCCAAAGTGTCACGCGATCACACTGTGTGTGTTACATGAGAGCAAACACCATATCCATGTCGGTACCGGTTGTACATCTTCCGCTGCGCTCTCCGGACGATCAATGCCAGTGCTAATGTTCTCTCGGTTGACAAAGTTGACTTCTAATTGACGTTAGATGTGGATGCGCGCGAGATGTGGTTACTTCAATTACGATAATTGCGTCTGACTGGTGTGCGGTTTTTGATTTGCACTTCCGTGGTAAACAGGGTGGCTATTGTGTTCGGGGTTCTTTGCTCACATTTAATGAAGTAATAGCAGTAAACAATTATGTACTTATTTATTAATAAAATTTCCAAAATATTTCAAAAATTCGAGTTGGTCTTTTTGGATTACATTTCCGTCCGATGGTTACCGTAGAGTTCAACCGCAGCTGTCAAAGTTCTTCAGCCAGTATGAAATTGAGCAAAATATTGCTGATTGCATATGATTTTTGTTTTGTTAAACTATGATTTGATAATTCGGTAACATGTTATTCAATAATTACCATATTATATTGCATCAAGTCAAGCCACGTTAAAAGATGACTAAAAGTTAACTGGTACCAACAAAAAGACCTGTAATTCGTGATTCAATAAGTTTAAAAAGTCCATTAATGGTTGCTTTACAGCACTTTTATTAAAACTTCAAAGTTACAGCATTACATGGTCACATTTCTCCAGTTCGAATGAAATCTCGAACCTTCCTCTTGATGGAGCCCATCAGCGCCCGCACAGTGGAAACGGACACCGAATCAGCGCATTTCTTTTATTTTGCCCGCATTTGCTGGATGTCCTTGACTGCCCGCGGCTTCGTCGAAGTCACTGCTTTGAAACTTCTCAGTATTTTTCGATTGGTCGAAATTCCGGGCAATTCGGAGGATTCATTAGCTTGGGACAAAATTGAACTTGTTGGCAGCATACCACTCCAGAACCACCTTGGAGTAGTGCCCCTATGCTTGCGGATGAACGGCAATACACGCTTTTTCAGGCATTCTTCGATGTAAACTTGGGATATAATGTACGAGGATGGTTCGCTTGCCAAATCATGGCCTTCTTCGCGAACTTGTCGGCAAACACGAACTTGAACCTTCCCGGCTTAAAATCGAGTTTGACGTATGTTTCGTCATCGATCATAGTTCAGCCCTTGTATTTCGTCAAAACACGGTCGTACAAGAGCTATGCATGCTTTTTGGCCACGGAATTCTGCTTCATGTGCCGCCCTCTCCATGGACATGGTGGTTGACGGTACTGAAGCAAAGGGTTATGTTTAATTTCTTTATATTTGCAACGATGATGATTTCCTATAGTGACACATATCACCTTCTTAATGCTTCAGTATGCCTCAAACGATTAATTCTTGGTTGTTAATAGAACTTCCTTGATGAAATCGGCTGCTTCATGCAGACTGAGCAATTCTGATTATAGTATCAGATTTGTTCTGTATACAGAGGAACTGGGAGGGCTTATTAGAAACTTCTCACCAATAAAGTAATGATCTTCTAATATTTTATTTTATTTAAGCATATTATTTGTGTTACAGTCACTTAGCATTAGCATACGATACAAGAGATTTAATATTACTTGCTCGTTTTTGCGCTAAATAATCAATATTTATTTTACTTGTAATAACCTTTGAAAGTTTTTTTCAAGTTTTTTTTTGTGATCTGAAAATTTTCCCAGTTTGGTTAGAAGTTTCGAAGCTAACGCCAATAGAAAGATAGGCAGAAAAAGTGAAGAATGGTTGCATGCAGGGTTGCTCCCACTCACTTGCTATAGATGCGTGATTTTCGGAGTTTTGAATTCGTTAGATGTTGTAATGGAGCTTTGTGTTGATGTATGCGAGAGGAGATTGGAGGGCGGGTGTTTGACGCATAGAGCCTGTCAATTTCGATTTCAGAGTGCCGCAGTCGGTGGTTTTATGATTCGTGAGCGCTCGCGATTCGTAGAATCGTTGATTGTGACTGCAAGTGGATTTGGCGGGTTTTGTGTGTCGGACGCTTGCTTTTTGGCCTCTTCTTGTGTCTAACATGTGCAGAGTATCATTATAGCGTCTAATGGTTTTAAAATTCCTGGTTGCGTGAAATATATTTGTGAGAATATCTTTTTGAGATTTTAGTAGTCACGTTTTGATTGTAGTTTCTTTTTTATTTCTTTCATGTAATTATCGTAAATAATAGTTATTCAATAATAGATAGTTCATCCATGTATTCGTACTTTGACGCGAAGCGCTGTAGATAATGAGATGCTCGATGACCCTGGAGGGATCGATTTTGCTTACTGAGCAGAAAATCATGGATTTAACCCCAAGCTCTTCCACAGTACAATAAACCACCACCATCATTTCAATATTTGATATTGAATATTAACCTCTATTTTGCATATCAAGCGTAGCGTAGCCCTGTATTGTCGCGAAGCGTTATGGTTCTGAGATGCTCGATGACCCTGGAGGGATCGTGTTTGCTTACTGAGCAGAAAATCATGGGTTTAATCCCAAGCTCTCCGTCATGACTCTTAAAATTCATGATCACTTAACAAAATGAATATGTTCTTTCGATAGCCGGTTATCAAGAGATTAAATAAACAACAAATAAACAATACATACTTTTGGTTGGATCGCCAACTTGAGGTGAATCCTAACCGAATACCCTACCCAACCCTCCAACTCCGTAGCACTTATGAGGGTGTCGCTAAGTCGGTGGCCTCTCGTTAAGTAAGTACTACATCAACATTTCCTTCCCCATCCCTAGTTATGGTAAAGATGGGCGTGGCCGGGAATAGCGACAGTCATGCTTCTGTTACTCTTGTTTAGATTGGAACCAATGTTTACTCCCCAGCATTATTCCTTAAAGTAGTCTAACTGAGAATTTCAGAAGAGACGTGAGTGTCGCTAGTATCCAGGCGAGTAAGAGAGGTGCCACAGTCGGAAGAAGTGTTAGTTTGTTTACTAAAATGAATCGCCCATTTTGTTATGGCAAGTTTTGCTATAAGAAATGCTCCTCGTGTTTATTAGCGAAATTCACATCAAAGTTTGATTAATTGCGTAGGAAATCAGTTTGGTACGGCATTTGTAACCAGCATACACCTTCCGGTCGCATGAAACTGGTCAAAAGCTGTCCAAATCCGCAGATAAAAATTTTTGTTTTGAATTTCTGTATGGTAAAATAGTGAACTTTTCGTAAACATTAACGGCAAAGAACTCACCAACACTGGGAGACCGTGAGTTCCTGCCCACCTGTCATCTTCCATCTAGCGCTAGTATCCAATCTACGAAGTATATCATAACAACGCTAACGCTAACGCTAACGGAATTCTGCTTCATGTGCCGGTTCGGAAGTTTACTGGCTTTGCACGTCTTGTATCCTTCCCTGGCAAGGATTTTCCGCACCGTTTGAAAGATGGCGTTGTACCTTCTGGCCACATCTCAGATCAAAAGACCGGGGTTGGCTTTACCGCACCTCAACACCTTGCTGCACAGCTGACGATCCATGATTCCAGTTTTTCGTAGGTCTGCTGATTCCTTTCCACACTTATGGTTTCCTTGTAGGTTTTGAGCACTCGACAAACTGTTGTTTTAGGCATCTTCAACATTTTATCCAGCTGGGAACCGGACCACTCCAGATTTTCCAGGTGTTTGTGCACAATATTTTTTCTTCTCGTCCATTTGACGTTATTTCTGAACGCGATCGACTACCTTGATCAAACTTACACCAGTTGTTCTCTATAGAAGTGTAAACAAACTACTGTCAAAGATTTTCGTTTTCCAACACTAGAGGCGTGGATCTAACTACTTTCTGTTTTCCGGCTATGGAAGATAAAGCGCAGGTTGACGTAATCTATACGGACCTAAAGGCGGCTTTTGACAAAATTGATCATAAAGTGTTGCTCTGCAAGCTATCGCGATTGCGAGCCTCGAATCGATTGGTGTCGTGGTTGTCATCGTACTTGACTGGCAGAACGCTGTACTTTAAACACGGATCTTATGTTTCATCGCCATTTGCTAGCACGTCTGGTGTCCCGTAAGGAAGAAATTTGGGACCGTTACTGTTTGTGTTATTTTTCAATGACGCTGGATCTAACAATCTATGTGGTGGTACGCTGCATCGAGGACTGCTTTCTCCTTCAAAGGTTGCTTAACATGTTCGTTCACTGGTGCCGCTCGAACAAGCTTGTCATCAGCGTCGCGAAATGTCATGTGATGACCTTCTATCGGTTCAAAGACCCGATAGTTTATGAATACCACATCGATGATACTGTTCTTAGCAGAGTGGATCAAGTGACGGATCTTGGTGTCGTATTGGACTCGAAGCTTTTCTTGCATTCCCATTATGCGCATTGGCGTAGCTAGAAAATTTATATGGGGGCCTCATAGCCTAGTCAGTAAAGGCACGGTATTGCCAAGCCGGAGGCGGCGGGTTCGATTCTCGGTCTGGTCGACGGGAATCTTTCGGGTTGGAAATTTTCTCGACTTCCCTGGGCATAGAGTATCACTGTGCTTGCCACACAATATACAAATTCATGCATTGGTATTGGCATCGAAAACTCTCAATGAATAACTGTGGAAGTGCATTTAGAACACTAAGTTGAGAGCATGCAATAAGCTAATATGCACTATGCAATAAGCTTGAAACGCGAATAAGGAGAAGAAGGGGCCTGTTGTTTTTTTTTTTTATTTTGCTAAACTACGGTTACATAAAAACTCGTGAAGATGCTTGTTTTTGGGTGCATTTTTTTCTGTGACCAATAATATGACTTACTTATATTTTAATGGTGCAACAATAAATATGATTATATTTATATCATAGCAATGAT